AATGATCCCCAAGACGTGACAGCATCCTTTTTGAATCCCAGGAAAAATACTTCATTACAGCTGTTACATGGTTTGAGGCTGTCGACACCAATGTTAGAGCAAAACTTAACGAATTCAAAATGGTACAAAAGAAATAGAGTTCGAACTCCTAGAGCTCCTTAACACATCTTGAGATTCTATCGATGAGATAAAAATTTGAGAGATTTTACTTGGAAAAAAACCAAATGAGTGCTTTTACAAGTCTTAAGTCAGCCACGAATTAAACTTTCAGACTTTGACTAATGAACACATTCAGCATTCAGCGATTGAGTGCTTCTAATATTCATGAAAGAGTCGAAATAACTCTTTAGATCCGACTGCAGTTTTCGACTGAGTCGAGGGCAACATGGACTCGGGTTTTTCATTTCAGACCCATCTGAAAAATGGGACTGAATTGTACGGCTGTATCAAAGACATGATCCTCTGATTCGGTTCCTAAAACTTGGACTTGATAGAGTGAAAAACCCGAGTCCAGTTGCCCGGAATCATCCGTATTCCAATCAACCGTAAGTGAACAATTCGGTTCAGCAAAAAAATAAGCATGCACTTTTGCAAAACTTTCATTGGAGTGTTCAGACGAAGCATCCCACATTGAGCTTTGTATGCTAAAGCCTCACTTTAATCAGTGTGCCTCGCACCTTTTTAGCCATTGGCACGTCATGCACGGCAAGCATCGCTCAAAGAAAGTCTACCTGCAATGACTCATGTCCACATTTGAAGGAAAAGATCTAGACCTGCTTGACCCAAAAAAATACCAACCTTGCCAATTTCTGATGATTTCGTTCTGTATATTTGTTTTCGTTGTCGTCTTGACGTTCGTCCTCTTTTCCTCTGTTCTCCTCAAGGAGAACGTTGTTTTAAACCTGTCCCCAAGAATGAGAGAAGTTTATGGTGTTAGGTTCCATATCACAAAGTTGACGTCGAAGTCTTTCCTGGCATTCAGAAACGTCCATTCTGCGTTCCATTACATAACTGAGATGCAAGGAAGCGTTCCCGTAGACAGCGCTAAGTAATCTGAGATAGTTGTCATGCCCAGTGTGACAACGTTTCAGCTAGTAGTTTGAACGGTGCGTTGCACTTGATTCCACTTATTTCACCACGGAAGGGTTGTTAGTTCAAGACAGCTGCAGATGAGTTACTTCTACACAGCTACTGCTTTGATTTCGGTCCAAATGCTGCATGAGAGAAGAACATCATGCTCCAAAACCAAGGAAGGTGCAAACAGGATACAGCTCTAGGCTTTGTATTCAATGTTTCCATGTCTATGACTTCACATCACCAAGAATCTTATCTTCCACGCTTCAGAAGCCTGACACCGTCGTTTTCAGTAGTCCGGACAGCTCCCAAACAGACTCCACGAATCTGAAACCATAGACTCGATAGATTAGTCATGTATCTCTCATCCATCTTGACACTCATGGTCCTCTAGATTCTTTTTGCCCTTTGTGATCATTCCATCCACTTTTGTAGAAGAAGATATTTTTTTTTCAATGCTTCCCCAGTCTTCATGGCGAGCCTCAGGAGTCTCCAGAGAATTTGAGAAACAGACAGACACTTGGCGGCAGAAAGAGAATATAGAAGCATATGCATATGTAACGGGCCGTATGCAGGGCATCATCAGGATAGTATTTAACTATGTATGTTCTGAAAATCTTTATCCGTAGAACCCCTGATCCAATTATCATTCAGGCAACGTGTAGCTATGATCAACAGTCGCTCAAGCCTCGTCACTTAAAACCTTGGATGACTTGGAAGATCCTTTCAAGTTGTTGTTTCGCTCTTGGCACCGTTTCTAAGGTAAGCTTGGTCACATCCTGGAGATCTCATTGGCTCAGTTTACACTATGTGACCAGATTTTCTCCGGTATCTTGACCGTCTGTCTTGTGTGAACCCGTCCTGACTACGGAAGGTCATTGACTAAAATCCGCACACGGTAAAATTCTGTAAGCATTATCCACCTGAAGAAGGAAATCACTTCTTTCCTTGGGCAGAAAAGTATGACTCATGACACCCTCGTTGTCATCCAGGTTTCAGCTTTTGAATGAGACATGTCACATCATACTACTATTGGCAGTGTCACAATTTGCATGCTTCTCCTGATATTTAAAATAAAGTCATGTCATCATTTCAATGTCTTCCTAAACATCAAATTCTGATTACTATTTCGACAAGAAGCAATCTTCTGCTTGGATATAGAGTGTACATGGATTTCATGTCTTACTGATATCTCTGAAGGGCTAGATTGCACCTCATGAACAGGTGGACGATAACGCGGCTAGATATACGCAGTGTTACCTCGACCCATGAGTCTAGCTCTAGGAGGTAGCAATCAATCCACAGAGGTCCACTGCCATTGAATGTTTGACATATTGAGGCTCGCACTTCCGACCTACGGGAGGTAAGGCATAGGTTTCAGGATGATATATGCATATGGACTGTAACTGCGAAAGTCCTTTAGGGTGACCCTTTTGTGTGGTCCTTCGATAAAGTAGGCTGTCCGCAATCTCGAAAACATACAACCGCGAGTCCAGACTGTGGACCACCCTTGAGATACTAGTCCATACTCTTACGCATCTGATACCGTACTTCACAGATCAGACATATACTATCCTCAAGAAACAGCCTCTATTGGTCCAGGAAAGCAGGAAATCTCACGAATGCATTGATTGAACTGTAGTACCAGTATAATCATACGCAGTGAGAACCAACAATTAGAAGTTCCTAGCTAAGTGAAAACCGCAGGTTTTTAGGAATTATTCAGAAATACCCACTCCCAAAGCATCTCTTACCGTCGAGTAACTGATTGACATTCATATAGATACTGTACCATTGTGTTTGAATTTGTTTAAGAAATGTCCCTTATACTCTGTCTGTCCGGGCACAAGTGGAAAATATACGTGAATTATGAGAAGCATGGGTTCGAGTAAAATAAACATCATGTAAGAATTTCCGTAGAGCTCCTTACTGACATATATAGTAGGTGAAGGTCTAGTACCTCGAGTCTCAACATTGCTGCAAGAGCGACGGTATGAGAGTAATTATGATGTGACATGTGTGGAGGGCTGCTTCAAAGTTCACAGTCCAACCTGGGCGTAATGATTGAAAGATCATTGGAGAGAGTGATTCTTGATCAACTTTCTTGAATCTGAGACCTGACGGATTCCACTGCCTCAGATTCACCGTCCTGTAACATAGACGGAAGATAAACAAGATGGCGACCTACGGTAATCTCCTGATGTCTTCACAGTACGACCCTCAGTAGCTATCAGGCTTCATCCATCCCGCTACCTCTAGGTTTAGATTGCGATGTGCTATCGAGCACATGTTTGGCATGAAAGACAGCCCCCAGTGCTTCCAAAACAAACCTGTGTGATCGCCTACTTTCGATTTCGTAACAGACTTAGTAGTTAGATGTCAATCGAGATTGAGACTGGCGTACCCTTCTCCATCAAGTCCACTTCTGCGGCACATCACCACAGCACAGACAGCTCGATACATGGGATAATTCATTATACGCAGTTTTTTAACAGAGAACCTGGAAGCATCACGCATTCGTCTTATTTTATATCTTCTGGGTAAACTGAAGTTCGTACAGTGGAAGGCGAAATACTCCAGACATTTGTCTCTACCGGACTCCGATTGCTTCTGACACATGCTTTTCTGTGTCCAGGGCTGACCGGGGCCGGTACGGTATTGGCAAATGTCCTACTTACTGACATAGCTTATGTCTGTGGTCTTCATTTACATCCCCTCGAATATACCAGTACCCTATGAAAGTAAGACAAACGCGGAATACACCCCCGTAAGAAAACAGGAGTGTTTGAGACGTAAGAATGACCGATACAACATCAGGATTTGCAAACACTGGCTTTACCGAGCACTTTTCATACATTCGTATCTTGAGCAATTGATTAGCAAACAAACTAGTCACTCTCATTCAGCTCCGTTTCGGCGTGATGTATAATGTTACTGCTGCGCCTCACGTTCATGTTAAAGTCCGACTCGCTGAAGATTTGCCTGCGTTCTGTTTGCATTTTTGGCTTGTCTCCTTCGTAGGAGCTGCTCAGGTCAGGTCGACTCATAAGTGACAGACACAGTGGGGAATAATCCGGAACTTTCAGACAATAATAACAATATTCAAAGGTAACTAAGCCTTTGCTCGGTACAAATATTTATCTCGGACTTATCCAGTCACATCCAAATGCGAACATAACAGACAATACAATGATTCGCGCAGCTTTTCATCTTGCATGGCATACAAGAAAGAGTTGTGTGGTTTTTTCACGACTTGTGTGGCCAAAACGCATAACTTGTACAATTCCAACCATCATGGGAATGGAAAGGGCACATATCATGTATTCTAGATGTACATATTAAAATAACAAAGAGTATGAGAGGACACTATCAAAACCTACAAAGAAAAAACCAATAGCATCACAATGTAGAGATACATATAGGTCAAGGTGTCTACAAAGAATATTAACAATTTGGCCACTCTTTCGCAAATAAAATCAAATGGCAGACAATGAACTAAACTTATTCTTTGTGTGTGTGTATATATATATATATATATAAACCTTCTTCGAATTTACTCCACTCCGCTACTCAAGTATACATCACCTAGTTTACATTATATCCTGTTATGGATCAAGAGTTAGCATAAACTAACTCTTGGGAAGAACAAGTTAATGTGCCAATATAAGTTTCCTCTTACAATATTTGACTTCACAATACTCTTTAAGTATAAATTACGTCAATTCCACTATATTATAACACATACCAACACCCATCGGATATAAATTATACATAACCTTCAGCACATTGTAAACATCATGTCGTTAACAGACCATCGATGAATTTACTATACGCTGCGCATGAAAAATGTTGTTTTAAACATGTAGATAAGTATACCAAGCAACAACATAAAGTCTGTCCCGTTAGTGAGATCTGAAAATTAGGTAGACAATCAACCAACCCTCACAATACAGTAAACGAAAACCACGGGTGTGGAGCCACACATAATATTGACAGAAGGTGATGTCTACGGTCATTAATTACCGCACTCTTCCTACGACTGTGTATTGGGCAAATTATACGATGTACAGTGGCCTCCACCTGAGCCAACTGATTGACTTGAACAAGTGTACCATGCAAGAACTACATGATCCTATCGCAATAATGTGTAATGTAGTGCCCAGAGGAAGTCTCTAAGCCTCAGCTGAAGGAAGACCACAGAGTAAAGCGATCTGAAAGAAAAGAAGGACGAAGGAGCAGAGAGCCTAATAAGCGAGCAAGGAGAACGGACCGGACCAACTTTTGAGTATTTTGAGCGCTTTACAGTATGACACATCGCCGAAGGCAAGCTTGACGTACTTGGGTCGGAAAGAGTTATTCTCGACGCAGACGTCAGGGTATAAGGTGACGATGTACAATCAATACGAGGAACTTAGCCGACATTCAGCTTTCTGAAGAAATTGAACTCCGACCAATGACAGGCAGCCTGTTTATCTTTGCTCGGACGAACGGTAGACGTGTATGTACAGCTTTACGACTGTACGCTCAAAACTCTTGGTGCCTGCGGCTGGGCATACGAAGTCGTTGGGTTTCAGCTCAATTGCCATGGATCAGAAGCCCCGAAGGCAGCAGATCGATTACGAATTGGGGAACAAGGTAACATTCCACAGAGCATAGATACAGTTGCGTTTCAGAACAATAGTTTAGGGTCCCTGAACTGTTCATATGAGATGCATCGTCAATATAAAGGAGGATACCCATCGAGGAGCCTAACTCTTCTGTCATATCTGAAATTGAATTCTCGTTCTCGTATCGACGGAACTCGTGGAGGTAAGAAATGTTGATGCAGCGTGTCCAAGCGATCTCCGACTTTCAACAAAGCCAAAGGTGGCCGGCTTCGATTGCTCGGTTTTTGGCAGAAGAACTGTCACATACGCAACGAAATGAATGTAAAGTGCATGTCACTTTAGTCGGCACGCAACAAATTGAAGATTATCCACGACTTAAGCGAAGGTCAAATATTACTAGCAGTGTAAAATACCTGTTTAGTGATACCAGCTGCCGTGAGGAAGATCAAAACTCAAAGAAGGCCGTTCGTGAACACCAACACATTCTTTGAGATGTTAATGCTCTAGGTTCTTATCTGTACATGTCTGCACGTGAGTACATCAATATGGAACCGATCATGACACATCCGTTGTGTCGTCAGTCATCCATTTGATAACGTCGAGTTTCACTATCGACCGAAGAGCATGGATTCATGGAACCTCAGACCAAAACTCGACAGACTCCTGTGCTGTACCGAGAATTCCAGTCATTAATGATCACGAGGTTTACCCCTCACCTCTTTGATAAAATGATCAGAAGGAAACGCCCTCTCAGAAAGTCCGGATTCGGTGGCCAACCTTTCGAGAGTTTCGTCGGACACCTGTCACGTGAGAAGCGAGATCCTTGTAGGAACAGTGTGTGTTAGACTAACCACTACTAATCCATGAAGAAAGAAGAAGGAATGAAGAAGTGATGATGGCAGTAGGAAACAACCAAATTATACGGCTTTATAGAGTCGAACAGAATATAATAACAGTTTACCCCACGTTGTAGAACCATGAATCGGAGAGAATGTCCATCAGTGGAATTTACCGTCTCCGCCATAGCAGCTCTGGAAACAGGTCAAAGCTGAGCAAGAACATTCCGAATTTTCACTCCGAAAGTAACGGGCATATACAGCCAACAGCCCCTCAGAGTCAAAACCCTTTTTGAAACACACTGTAGCGTCACAGGTCTTTACGAAACCTTGCTGTTTACGTAGAGGGATTTTTTCAGTAGAGAAGAAGAACAGGGCAAAATGAAAGTCAGAATGAAAAAAAGAAAACTCGTTCTTCTGAGATTCTTTCATTCTGCGAGCGATTGATTAAATTCTTTCTTTTATTGCCCAGGAATAATAAGAGGAAAACTAAAGCCTTTTCGATCCCTTATGTGCATGGCACTGATTATATCACTTTACCGTACCTTCAGAATCGACATCTTCCCGCTTCATTATGAAGCACATTTATGGCCAAGAATGTCTCTGATTCTTGTAAAAGAACACAGAAACAGAGCAATACAAAAGCAACTAAAACGAACATGACATGCCTTTAAACACGATTAGAACAACTAAGCAAACCAAAGCTACATGAGATTGAACCCTGCAAAGACTCACTTGCACCCGGCTTTCCTATTTCCGGTATAAATTTCTCCAAAGTACATGCGTTGGAGCTTGTGATACCGCAGCAAAACATGACTTATTTTAGAAACAGTGAAAACTTATATGGGTTCTAGAAATTAAGAATCACACTTTGCCCTATCGATTCACAGCCCGCCGCTCGTTTAGTGAACATGGAAGAACTATTGATAGCGGTCCGTATTGAATGAGGAGCAATTTCTGTGACCTGACTGTATGCCGATTGTCGTGTGAGAATCTGGAATCGAAGACGGTACGCTAACGAATGCTCGTGAATGGGAGAGACAAAATGAGATCTATGGAACAGATCACGAAATCAGTAGCAGTGCAAATTATCCATAAAAGTTTCCGGCGCACTCCTTCTTTTGACACTTTAATCCTTATCCACAAAAGATTATTTCCACTTACATCATTGATTAGTCTATATTCAGGATCTCGATGGTAGAAAAGTGGTACCTCGTGTACGAATTAATTTTTAAGTCACTACAAATTTCAAAAACTGCATATATACTCTTCCATACTTGATTCAAAGAAAGATGAATATGTATCACTCTCGTCTCATAGGCTGCTAAGATAGTAAGCATGGACGAGACATTGGTCTCCTAGGGTTAAACCTACAAATTAAACACAATCAGAACTACGAAGGGAAGACCATCATCCTCCTGGGAACGGGAAAGAAAAGGTCGAAGCGGATCTCATACCCGTAGAGCAAAATCATGCAAGTGTGACATGTGATTGATTCGCATTGCTTCGTGAGTCCGACTTAAACAAAAATGTAAAACGAATGTAGCGATAGCAAGGCCAAAGTGTACTTGATGTAATGGACGTGATATACAGTACTAGTGATGGTGTCTTTCCAACTTTGTACTAGTAGCAGTGGCGATATTCAATCTGGGATGTGTCACTCTTTCCAACTTTGGAGTTTCTAGTAAAATTCTGAACATTATACATAGAGAGTATCGGAACATTGTCACTCGCTCTCTCGTTAACACTAGTGGTAGCTATTCTTCCCATTATTAATACTAATTTCATTTTTCACAATTCGAATGTTATTCCGAATATTGTATGAAAAAACTCCTCATTTATTGTTTTCTTTGATATTACTTTAAAATATTATAATATTCCTAGCACAAGAATTACTCATAAATGCGTTGAGTGATGTCATAAGATTACTACCTTGAACAATAAATAAAAATCTTGTGTGCACGAAATTATATTCTTTTGTCATACGCCTCAATGGTAGTGGACTGCTTTTGCACAGTTGCACTCTAATCCTTCTCCTGACTGATGAATAACCACAGTCCAAGGAAGCGAAGCTCTTCAATACAAATCCCTACATTAAGAAAAACTCTACGACAAATTGATCTTTGCCGGAAGCCAAGGTGATCTAGTAAACCGAATGTGCCATGATTGCCCAAATGTGGGTCCCTAGCGAACATACTGTACGGATGGCCCGGAGATCTGCACCACAGTATCATACACAGAACCTGGCCTTTCAAAATGGTGCACTTTCAAAATACTGTACGTCCGTGCGCGTTCTAGCTAACTTCTCAAGCCCGCCAAATGATATCCTAGTGCATGGACTAATTATTATTCATTCTGTGTCGCCTTTGGAGCTTAACAAGGCAACCATATATTCAGGTGCATCTTGGCACTCTTTCTATTGGGCCTCTACCTTTTCTCAAAATTCTATAATTCGTAAAATTCGCCAAATAATAACTTGACAGGATGTTTCATAGCTCACCCACAACTCTCTAAGGAAATCCTTAGAGAGTTGTGGGTGAGCTTAAAGGTTTTATTATTGACCGGGGAAGGAATTACGGTCTCGTGAAAAACACCAATATATTTAGGGGTGGTGGATCAAACCCATGTATTTTTGTCACGAGACACTTAAATTACAACGAATTTTTCTGTCGAGGTATATACCGGGGAAGGAGATATATTATTTTTTACTAATTCATAATATCTATCATAGAACTGTTTACTTTAGCCGTGAAATCTTATTGGAACTGGAAATGGATTCTATGGAAATTTTTCACTTGCCGAACATTATTTAAGGTCTATTCCGGAGCCCCGCGTATTGTTACAGACATCCTCCAATTCTTGATTATTATTCTTCATGTACCATCTTTTGGAGCTTAAGCAAGCAGTGTGAATACGAACAAATCGTAACCAGAAATCGGGTATTTCCTGACACTCTGTCTAGGGCCTCTCTCGTATTTGACTCAAACCATGCCTCTCAGTAATTCATATCATTTCATTTCATTTCAGCACTCACGAGTCCCATAGAAGATGTGCTCATTTTCTGATAAATTTGTGGTCTCCATTGTGGCACAGTCATGCTTGATGGATTCGTCATTTAGTCCCGAGTCCAACATCACCTTCCATTTGCAGTGGCGTGTATGTTGCTTGAGTCAATTGACGGGAACGCTACCAGCGCAGTCGATCCTGTTCTTGGGGCTCTTGATGATGTCGTATCCCAATAAGCGACGGGAAGGAAGGGCGAGAATCGGTGACCGGATCATCCTCGGAGCTCAAGCGTTAAATTTCGTGAACGAGCATTCGCATGACCTGCATCGCTTACAGTGAGGAGGATTGGAGAGCCCGCCATGTAACGAGTCGTCTTTTTAAAACAGAGTGAGCACCTTACGTGTTGGTTGTTCATGTAAACGAAAATGTCAGATGAGCTTTTTCTAATGATCGTGAACTTCGATGCTAACGAGGCTCTCAAACCTTTCTAAAATGACGACCGCCGTGACTTGAAGATGACCGCCTCCGAATGACTTCATATTGGCGTACGGAGGAGTAGGGTAAGAAAAGGACTCGGACCTCAAACGGAGAATATTATAAACTTGTCAGCTTATCTGGTGCTCCCCGTTTCAGGTTGTTCGCTTCCTCCAGAACTTTTTAATATGACGACAATGGAAACGGGACACCAACAACCTCTCGCCAAGTTGCCAGCGACCATGGGGGTACGGCATCTTGCACAACAATGTGCCGGTGTAGTTTAGCCTCTTTTATGCCACCTGAGGATTCTCGGCATCCGCATTCACAAGTGTGGCAAATCTGCGAAGACAATACTCTCTCTCTGTGGACAAGCGTGTACGGAATATCGTGGGAGTCCGTCTTTCCTAAACCTTGCATCGGCGAGAGATATTTTGGTTGCCACTGCTGTTCATCAGAAGGAAGGTAGACGAGGAGGGCCTGGCAGTGGTCCCAAAAACCTCGGTCACCCCTCTATGTCTCGTAGGGAACTTGAAACAAGCAGGATTATCGGAGGTTTATCTGCGTAGAGTTGTGCGAGTTTCTTTTATCGCATTCTTTCGGCTTTCTTTATGCATAAAAGTTACGAGACTTTTGCCATTTATACGAGGCCCATTCGTCAGGGGCAGTTATGCATGTCTCGAGCTTTTGGTTCTCCGAGGCCTTTATGACATCATTCTTTTTTCTCGTAGAAGGTTCCAACTTTACCAAACTACCCCTGCCTATGACCAGAAGAACGTAAGAATTGTGGTTGCAGACGCTGCAATCGATGGTCTGCTATCCGAGCCATGGAATGTTCCTGTTCTCCCATGAAACGTACTCTTTATTCTTCGCCTTCGTTATTTTGCGGGCATTGGATCATCCCCCGCTTTGTGGTTTGATTCCTCTTCCTTCCTTCCTTCCGGATATCGCGTGCACTTCCATGCCCGGGGTTCAGATTTTTTTCCTGCTCAGGGCGTCCCGATAAAGGTCGGGCTAGAAAAAAACATATTCTCCAATAGTCTTTTCTTTCATCGGCTAGTTTCTTCTTTATGCCCCGGCATTTTGGCGAAAATTTTGTTCGCGGCCGATTTTTATTCTGTAATAATTTTTTTGCTTTTTACTTTTTCTCCCTTTTATTTTTGGATTTCTCTTGTATTATTCATACCGGCATGCATGGTGATATGTTGGTGTTGTTCGGATACGGCAGATGGAGCACGGGGTATCGCGGCTTCTTTCTTTCTCGGGAAGCAGACATTGAGAGTGCTATATTATATAGGGATTGATAGGATTTTGGGATACGCGAGAGTCTATTATGGTCAGATTCCTACAGTGATTACTAATCAACTGGCTAGATTTTAGAGGCTAAATGATTGAGGAATGAAAAAATGGAAAAATGATATTATTATTATACGGTTCGCCACAACGAACGGTATAAGAACTCGCGACGTTAGTAGCCTGTCCCATACGATTACATTGTTCCGAGATAAAGGTGATGTGAAAAGTAACTGACCCTATCGTGGATTAGTAGCGGTACATCTTTTCTGTTACAATTGATAGCGCCTAATTTTGTTCCGTTCAAGCCTAGAGGCGATCTATGATGCAAAAGATAAGAGGCGGAATAATTCAAGAGAAATGTGGAAAAATGTTCGATTGCTCGTGTACGTTCAAAGCACATGGTGATAAAACAACATAGTTAGAATATAGAAATTAAAACTACAATATTCGTCATATTGGGATCCAAAAGTTGTACCGCAGACTTCACGTGAGAATTTTCTTCCTTTCCTGTTAGAACTGTCATTCGGACAAACAACATACCTCTGAAGTAATCCGGTTTTATCTAGAGAGGTAGCTCAATGCGTCGTGCATTCTGGAAAGTTCCAACGGATGTATGTTACAAGAGAGTTTATCAAAGAATGAGCACTTGAATTGCATCCAGCCCATTCTGTTGGGTACCAGAGGAAACCAAGTTATATAACTAACAGTGTAAGAAAACCATCCATCAGTGGTGGAGATGGTACTAGTCTCAGTATCATCTTTACATGTCACTAACTTACCTCGTTGATTACATGTCATGATTATTTTATTTTTTATGTCAATATTTATTTTTTAATTTTCAATTGTCAATTTAAAAAAATTATTTAAACTTTTTAACATTGATAACAACAAAATTTTCCTTTTATTGAAATATTTTTCAATAATTATCACATAAATTAAATTTCTAACATATGCAGAAAACGGATTGTTGATTTTTTTTATATATAATTTGTTTGACATTGAAGACTGAGATTTATAATAAAATGTTAGCATTTTTACATATCAAATTCATTTATGGATCATTTATAGAATTTTTATAAATTATCAACACAATGCAAAAGTAATGATAATTTTATTCATTGTTTAAATGAATCTTAGTATTCTTCAAATAAGGTACACGTAGTAACATGATAATTGTCAATATTTAAGACTCTTTTCCTCAGTTAACATGATAGTATTTCTTTTTCTTCTATAGTATATATATTTTTCAATAACTTTTATATATGCAAATTTTTTTACTATATAACTCATCTCCAAAAACTATGAAGGAAAGTATATGAAAAAAGTAGGAAACCTTGTTATAAATCTCCTTTGAGTTTCAGATATATCAAATACGGAATGAAAATAATTATTCGTGCAACTATAAATATCTTGTTCCAAAATCAAGTATAACCTATTCTTGATATATTTATGCCAATGAAACTTCTAAGATTAGTTGATTTAAAAACTCTTCAACAAATCTGAACAGGTTGAAGAGGTTAGAGCAGTAGGCACTTGATTACTATGTTTTGTGCGATCAAGGTCAAACATCTCATTAGGGGGGCCAGAAGAAATACGACGATGAAAACAGAAAAATTGCAAGTATGTACTCAATCTGTATCAAAAACTTTCGAGCAGTAAATAAGAATGCTATGTGGAAGAAATTACCTCCTAGATCTCAAAGCCTGTGGATTATACGCTTGTATGACATCGTCTTCGTCTAATATTTCTCGTCTGATCAACTGACATGCGTAGGTGAATCAAAGAACCCTCTGTAGGAATTCTAAGATGCTGGTGGTACCACACTACGAATGCTAAACATGGATCCCAGATACTGAAACCGGTAGATTGAGGTCCGATAACGCTTCCACCAACCGGTTCACAGGAACTTCCGGTGGTCATAACTCTGTCACGGTCTACAGACGGCCTACATTTATAAATTAGGTGCCGGCTAGTCGTAACGTTTCCGTAATATCCGCTAGTCAACCTAACCTTCGGTCAGCATGCGGGCAGCACTCTTTCTACCTTTGGTTCATTAACCCCTGAGAAGATCTGTTTCACTCATCATTGCACTTTTGGCAGTATCTTCCACGTTCCTGGGATTGGTTGCTCGAATGTCCCGTTTAGTATTTTAACCGGTACGGGCAGCATCAAGCCTTGGCCTTGTTAGCATTACGTTGCTTCCCGGTTTTACAACCTCGTTTGCTCGGTGACCACTTCTCCTTACGAAACAAATAAACAAAGACTTCTTTGAATTTTTCCAAGTGGTCAAAATCCACATGTTGACTCCTCCAACCACATGCTCCTGTTGAATTCAAGCCCCTATGATATCGTATAACTCCAGCCTAACATTGCTCTTAAAGTATGAGCAAAGAACTCAGCAATTTTCCAGAAAAAATCTCACCAGTTAGCGCTCTCAATTTTTTTCTACAAGTTTAACGCATAAATAATAAGAGGAAATGTTATTATCTCAGTATATAAATGAACCTGCGGCGAAAAGCGATCCATCTCACCACGTCTTTACTAGGGTAACATAGTTGACCATCGTGCCCTAACTGATGTTTAGATGGTTTAAGAGAAGGGAAGGGTGGCTGCAGCGACCGAGTCCTGGTCTGGAAATTTGGTGGTGAGGACGTGAGGAGTTGGTATGGTCCATGGCGCCCACCTTGTGCTGCCGTGCCTGCCTGCGGGCAGTAGGTGGTAATAGATACTGGGCAGAGGGCAGAGGGCAGTGGGCAGGTCCAGTTTCAGGGGGTCGCATATGTCGAGGTCCTCAGGCCCCATCCTGCTGTGGGACCGAGGCTCCAGGGACCAGGCAATGCTCACAAGTGTACATGTACCTGTGCCCGAGGAGAATGATCTCACGCAAACAAACTTTTGCACCATACTAGAACATTTGTTCCACGGCCGTTGACCAAACTTCGGATGCCTTTCATGTCCACTTTAAGTTCCGGATATTCCATCGCGGCAGACGAAGGGCGACAGAAGCGGAAAGCCGAGAACGCACGCTCGTCGCCCTCTCTATTTATCGAACATTAACAATTCGGAAGGAAGGAAGGGAGGGATTCACTTCCACTTGCTCTGTGGACCACGGAGGATGACCGGATGGACCGACCGAGCTTTACTCTTTCCCCTTCGTCTTCTTCTTTCGGAGTGCCTTCAACCGTATTGAATCTTTGTTGGCATCATCGGAGGGAAAGGACATTCTTCGGTGCAAAAGATGAAGCGTCCAGTGGATCCCATGGTGCCACTTCAGGTATCTGACAACAGATACAAACCGTCAAATCACTGATCCATGGACGTCGTTGTCGACAGAAGGAGATTACCACCTCGGTGGGGTTTTATTGGTGGGGGCGGCGGGGCGGGGGGGTTAGGTTTTCTGAGAAAATGCGAGTGGTCTTAAAAACCCGAAAGCGATTATTGCATGTCGGGAAAACCGCAAGGTGCAGCTCGTTCTGGAGTCTGGACGAGGACTCGTACTTACTGAATGGAAGAGCAGGGCAGAGCGGACATTTACTTGCTGTAAGAGAAAGGTACGATCACCCCTCAGCAAGGCCTAAGATCAAACCTTCGGTAGGAGTGAGCTCGGCCGTTCCTTCCTAAAGCTACGTCTGTTGTTGACATTTGGCCCCATGGAAATTGACTTTTTTAAACCTCTCCAAATCAATATGAATAGACTAAATTTTGACCTCGCTCGCTTGGGTTCCCCCATAAGATCTCGAAGTACATTACATCAGAAACTGATCCTCCTTTTTAACACCGATGCATTGTACCCTCTAAACTGGTTTCTAGGTGGGAATCGGCTGCTCTTCCGCCTCCTCCCAAACGCTCTCAAACTTTTTAAAATCTGCATGACCTGATGTATACAATGCACAGAGATCCTCATCGCCCACATTAGCCGAATTAAGGAACCACTGTGCATATGTTGTCGAGCACATCTTGTTTCATCTACAACCCGAGAAACTGCTTTAGAGATACTCCTGGGCCGTTTTAAATTGTGAGCATTTCACCAGACATCAAGGACTGCAACTGTGGAATTCACGATTGATCTTTCAATCTCATGAACGCAAATGAAATGGGAAAAGTCGCACTTTGGAATTCAGCCCGGAACAAGACCCTCCCTCCCTCGTGACTGGAAACCGAAACCGAAACCGCCACAACAGTGCAGACGAATAATGCCGCCTCTCTCGTGTTAGAAACAAGTGGCTGACCCGGCTGCCATGACTGTCATCGACTTTTCGTATCCTCCTTCAAGATTGATTACAACTTGCTCACGAAGTTGCTCCCACTGACATGTTGCAAGCAGGGAGGGAGATGCTGTTGTTGCAGGGCATGACATTTCTTGTTAGTGGTTGCGGAGACTGGACGTTGTGACATCATGAGCGGTGGTTCAATCCATCGCTCTCAAGAAAGCAAACATGTTGTGCACCTCTGATGAGCCTAGCTTTAGACTCACTTGGCGCCACGAGGAATGGTTGACATTGAGACTGGACTCCAGTGACTAGAGTCGCTAATTCCTTCAAGATCTTCTGGTTCCTCTTGTGGCTGCCTTATAGCTGTCCACGGCACATCCTCTTGTACTTGTCCTTGTCAGCGAGCCTCCAGTCCGACTGGTTTCCTTCGAGTAATGTAGCAAAAAGGGTGGGTAGTTGATGTGATGTTGGATCATGTGGACACCGGGGCTTGTGATGTCCTAGTAGTGTTCATTCAATTGCTACATGTTATTAAAGTAAACAAGCACTAGGCTAGATGGATTTCTCTATTGACACTGATTGATGTTGGAAACAAAGTTAACTAGAATAAAAAACATTGAAACTCATTTCAATAGAGAACTTGATAACACTTTTCCGATCTACTCTTAAAAATTTAATACTACTTAAGTGCTTTCTTATTTTCAAAATTTTCATATCTAAACTAAGAACTTTCATTAAAAAATATAAAGTTTTTGAATTGAAGTGATTATTCAGTCATCTTTGGTTGATCTCCAAATTGACCATTCTGTATGACTCATACCCAAAAATCAACATATCTATATTTCACCAATTAATTTATGAATAATACATATATAATGTTTAAAATTCAAAAATGGTTTATATTTGAAATTTTTTAAGCAAATAATTGCCTTAAAACTTCTTTAAAAATTTCAAAAATTGGATATTTGCACAGTTTATCTTAAATATTTAAATCTTAATTATAATGGAGTATCCAAAAATTAAAAAATTAAAGTAATCTCCGAAAAAATAATACAATGAAAGTGAAGATTATCATCTTTATTATTGATTTCAATAATTTCATTTCATTTCATTTTTTACAAATTTATTATATATTGCATGTAAATTTTTTTCAACTAACCCTAAAGAAAATTTTAAAACTTATTTTATACTAGGTCTTTAAATTAATCCTTTATCCAATATAAGCACATACATTTTTATCAGTAATGTCTATAGTATGCTCTATTTTGTTCACCTTTGAGTATAAATATTTTATAATCACATCTTTTTAATGTTTTAGGTATAAGCTTTTTAGCTCAAATGCAACTTTTATCTTTTGAAAATCTCTTTCTAATTATTTTTAATTATGTTTTCAAGAAATAAAATTAATCTTCAAATAAGGTTTCATGACAAATAATATAAGAACTATCATTCTTAAAAATATGCAATTAAAATTTTCCCACTCTAGTGAACATGTAGATATAAATTGGTTGGATAGATTGTACAAAAAGTACAGATCCTTGAAGGAAATGAAGATTAATGTATGAACATATAAGAATTTTATTAAAATAGATATATATGTAGAAAAAAAATCTATACTATCATTGCACTTTTAATTGCAATAATTACCGTTATAAAATCTTAGATTCATCATTAATAAATGTGATAGAAATATGATCATGTGCAAATTCAAGTGAAAGTGATTGTTGATACGTATACTACATAACAAGCTGATCATCATGCATTTATGCAATGTATAGGATCCTTTGTCTTTTAAAAAAATTTAATAAGACTAATCAAGAAATCATTTAAAAATATTGAATATTTGATCACCTCAATATAATAAAATAAAATAAAATTTATTTTAATTTTTTCAATGAATTACGTAAATTATTTATCTATTGTATAATTTTTTGAATCCAAATATTAGATTTTGTTTCATCTAGTGGAAAGAAAAAATATATTTCAAAGTGATAATATTTTTTTATTCAAAACCAATTCTTTTAAGAAGATTTGTGAGTATCTTTTAAGGTTTTAAAGATATTGTATAAAAATTTCAATCTTATTTAGAAGAGATATTGATTTTATTCCGCTTCCAATTTTTTTAATTAACTGTAAACTATGTGGCTCATTAGAAAATGAAGCTGAAGCTTATCAGTTTTTATTTTTCTCATATTAGTTTTAAATATCTTAAAAATGATGATCTTGATGAAACGTAAAGTTTCTCACATGAAAATAAAGAGGTGAATGATTTTAAGACAATGTACATATATAAAAGATAAATACCAAATCTGGATTTTCAAAGTATAATGTATTGTTAAAAGAAATGGAAATATCCATTTATCAAATGAAAGCTACCTGAAGTCGAGAACACGTTTGTAACTTTGTGAAAATGTATCCAATTTCATTATTATTCCATGAAGTTGAGCAATCAATGACAAGATACGCGATCACAATTTGACACGTAGGCTACCTGTTAGTATCAATAGATCTTAAGATGACACTAGAGTTCGTTTCATTACTAGTGATCAACACGTCATTACCCCACGATCATGTACATTTTACAGATCATATTTTTTTCAACAAGAAACTTTTTCTGAATGCTTAATACTCGCAAGTGAGACTCACTCACGAGTATACTCTTAGAGAGCAAATTTAGCTGTTTAGTGGAAGAGCCATTGGATTGGAATCCAGATTATGGATTCAAATCCAGTCTCACTCATCATGGAGGGGAGAATCCTTATTGTTTGTCAATGTCTCAATCCCTGAAAAAAAGATAAATAAAGATAGATAAAAAGATATAAAGATAGATCTAGGGTGGGAAGGGACATGTGATTATGACTTCGGAGTGTTTTCAAAGATACACCACTTTGAATACCTTTCATGGCTTATGATGGATCGTTGTTGTTCTCTCCATCATACTTGCATCACTCTCTCCATGGGGTTGAAGCCAGCCATTGGACCGTCCTTGATCAACTGTAGTAAAAGAAGAATATTTCCGATACCGAATATACCTTCCCATCAATGTCACTTGAAACACCTGTAAACGTTACATAAATCCATTTTAAAGATTGACTTTCATTGTTGACGAACTCACAATAAAAGCTGAATGAGCCATGAGAGTAGTCACTTCGGGATTTCCTTGAGGATTCATTCATAACACGATGGTTCAAAGGAATCCACTGTTTTCAAGGTCATGGCAATCTCTGTCAACAGCTGGATATCGATCACTGTCCTCTTCTGAAGAGGTGACACAAAATATTGCAAGTTGCATCGCTCCAAGTGCGTTTCGGAAGCAGGTAGAAACATTCACTTTCAAAGACCAAGACGATGAAAAAATACCGCTTGAAGATCCCTTTCGAGATTTTAGAACACAATTTATAAGTTTCTTCTTACACATTAATAACCACTTTATTACAGAGTGTTGTCATGATTGAGTTAGAAACTTTTGCATCTCTGAATTGAGGCTAACGTTGAAGTCGTAACTTCATGCTTCTTATCCTGATTTTTTTAATTTCTAAATTCTGTATATAATGCAGAATTTGATTGTTCATGTGATCTTTAAAATATCTTTCGGGCATACTAAAACATTGCAACCTCAAGTCATGTGAAAATACTAGTCCCTCTTTCATCGATACGCTTATTTTATATGCACAATGCTGCATTGTAACATTTTTACTTTATACAGAACATAGAAAGCGTCCTGCTTTACTCGAACCTGTTCGGGATATAATCCAGAATTTTCTTCTTCTCGTCATGTATATGTCTTTCCTAAAACTGATACGTTTTGTCTTACTAAGTATACTAAAATTCCAATTTGTAACCTGGAACTTGGATAGAAGAATATAAAATATGTATAATGTCCTGCTCATGTTTAAAAAATCACTTTTGAAATTTCATATATCTACATATTTATTTTACTTTAAAGTTAGGGACATAATACGATATTCTTTTAAAAATGTAAGTACTCGATATCACTAGTCCACCTTATGATGAGATTTGGAGATATTTCTTCGCAAGTTTGTGTATTTCTGATACTCGTTTATTAGGTGATTTCGGACTCGAAAAGCGATGGATCAAATTCCCACAATCGTACCATCAAAGCATTTCACAATGTTGAAACAAATCTTTGAATGAAAGCTAGAGTAGACGTGATTTCTATGTGCAAGAAACATACGGGCTGATGTACGTAGAGGTTTCTTGGAAAGGAACTCGAGTAAGACAAATGCGCAGCTTTTACCAGGTTAAGGTGTCGAAGGAAGAGTACAAGCTCGGAAATATTACGGAAGTGTGACAAGGGCGTATACAGCGCAACACCAGCTGCAGGCCAGCGTATGGCTGGGAAGGACGATCGGACGAGCAGACCAGAACGGGGTGCGATGACCGGGAACAGCGGGTGGAATGTGAAAGCCCCGCTGCGGAGAGCCGGGAGCGCCACCCGAAACAGCCGGTGAAGCGAATTCCACCAGAGAAAGTGCAGACGACGGGCAGGGCAGCGGGGAGCGGGCGGGGAGAGGTGGCGCGGCTGCCCGTGCTCGTGCCTTCCGTCGCATACTCCGCGAGGGTGGTCACAGTCAGCGGCCGGGCATGTGATGCGATGCTAGAGTGGTGCTTGTAGTAGTGACACTATCGAATGTCCGTATCTGGCAGCTCGGCGTCGGATGGGAAATCGAGCGGTCGCAAGTGCCCGGATGCAAACGGGGGCACGGGAGCCGACGACGTTGGCCCGCCGGTGAAGTTGACCGAGCGAAGGGCGGGCGATGGAGAACGATCGTCGCTCGCTCGCCCCTCGTCTTTGACCATCGGTCCCTCTCCTGCGCCTCGTTTGTTCTCTCCCCCCCCGGCCCTCTCTCTCTCCATGGCTCTCTCTCTGTGGGCCTCGCCCGCTTGATGGCAGGCAGGCAGGCAGGCCTGGCTTGTTGTTCTTGATGGCCACGCGACGGAGGGGGGAAAGGAGTGGGAGGAGCAGAGAGATCCGCGAAAGAGCCAGCGGAGGAATTATTGGTCCCGGCGTAGGATCTTAGCGTAGCGGAGCGGAGCTCGCCTGTCCCTCTTTTTTCCCTCTGCTGCTGCTCGCTCGAGCTGGGAGCTGGGAGCTGGGAGCTGGGAATGGGACGGGGGGAAGAGAATTTTTGGTTTGACGTTGAGATTTGAGGGTGGAGGGTGGGGAGCGGGACGGGTGACGATGGGGATGATGAAGGTGAAGAAGAAGACAGAAGAGGAAGAGGAGAGACGGGGAGCGCTGGCTGCGGCCGGAGCGTGTACCTGCGAGAGGAGGGCGTTGCGCGAGCCGGGGATGGAAGAAGGAGAGAGATCCAGCAAGATGACAGACTCTGCAGCACAATCGCTTTTGTTTCCGCTGCTGCCTGCTGCTGCCCGCCCGAATCATCACGCTCGCCTAAATGTTTGAGGCCGGAGCCGGGAGGCCGCAGGAAGGAAGGCAGGAGCAGAGAGGAGGAAGGCAGGCAGGCAGGCAGGCAAGGAAAGGGTTGTTGCGGTGAGGTGAGGAGAGTTGCCAGCCAGCCAGCCACTGTGGGAGCAGAGAGGAGAGAGGAGAGCGGAGAAGGAAGGGAAGGGGACGGAGGGGGAGGGGGTTGGTTGCGGGCTCAAATTTAGACTGAGGACAGGAAGCTTTTCTATCTATCTATCTGTGCGGGAGAAGATTTTGTCGAGGAGGGAGGCAGCGGGGGACGGGAAGAGGAGAGCAGAGCCGAGGAGAGGAGGGCGGGGTGGTGTTTGTATCTATCTCTCTATCTATCTATCCCTCGTTGTCTGTCCTGTCCTTTCCCTTCTGCCGCTCATGATATCAGGGGCGCCCACACTCTGGGGGGTGGTGCCTGTGTGATAGAGAGCCTCAGAGAGAGAGAGAGAGAGAGAGAGAGAGAGAGAGAGAGAGAGGAGGCGCAGGGACGCAAGGATTGCTGAAGTTGAGGGAATGAATGTGAAGGTTGGTACGTCATCGTTCCAGCCTTCGATTTCTGTTGCCAGCCCTAATAAATTGGGGCGTCTTGCTTGTGCGTGAGTGCGGGGTCGGTCGGGACGGTGCGGGGGGTGGGGAGGGATCGCTTTCAGCCCCGAGCTGTCGTTCTGTTGTAGGTCCGTCCGCCCAGTCCGGGCGCCCGTCAGTGAGGTGAGCGCGAGAGTGAGTCAGTCCTCTGCACTTTTGAGTCCCAGGCCTGGAACGAGTGCATAAGAAGAGTCCTTGGTGCTACCCATGTATTTGCAAAAGCTCTCGGCGCCTGACCGGGAAGCTGGGCGCATTCCTGATAGAAGACAGAAGTGAGGAGAATTCGGCCAGCAAGCCGGTCTATAAGTGTCATGAGTCCAGGGAGGGGGCCTATGCGATATGTTCTGCCCGAGTGCCCGCTCTGAATTGGCCCTGCCGACGGTAATCGTTTTCCGAGAGCTCGGGGAAATTTCTCTCGAGGAAATTTTGGGACGAGAGGTCTAGTCCGAGCGCGAGAGTGGAGAGGGAAAGAGGAGAGCGCGGGCGGGAGCACTGCCACGGACGAGGTCAACATGATGTGACCCATGCAACCTTTTCGTTGTTAGGGCTAGGGTTTAGAGAAAGGAGAGGGAGAGGGGGAGAATCACACCCCGAGGAAGAATTGAGATTGGCTCTCGAAGAAGAAGACGAAGAAGAAGAAGTAGATTGCGATGTTGTTTTCCTCTCGCTGACCTCGTTAGCATCTCCGAATCGTAATTTTGCCAGTAAGAAGAATTGCTCGCCCGGGAGATTATGTGCGTACTCTGTATTTCGTCAACTTCTTGCATACCTCCCCCTGAACTTGCACGTTGTTAGTCTTCCAGTTACGGCGGGCTGTCTCGGACGGTGGAACTCTGCACTCGTTCCTCATTCCGCGATGTCAGCGACCAACTTGTGATATCAATGTGTTGGGAAAAGGCCGTGGGGAGTTTGTAGATTTCCGAGAGAGGGTTAGGTGAAAATTCATGCTGCTGAGTCGGTAGCTCCATCCTAGAGAAAGGAATTCCAACTGAAATGGGAGGTGAAGCAATTTGTTGTTTGTCCGAGGAGAGGACATGTCGTGGTCGTCGTGGTCTAGAAAGTGGAGAGCGGAGAGAACGGAACAAAATGTTAAACAGGTACTGGTTGTGCAGGGAAATAATGGACGAGAGTTTCCAGTTTCAGCCCGATTACGATCCCGAAGAGCTTCTGCTGGTCAGAGAGACAGGATACGAGAAGTTCGTGCTTAGGTAGGTAGAAAAGGCAAGCGGGCAAACAAGAGATGCCATCTCTGTAGAAAGGTAGATGTCTCCTCGCGGAGAGAGCTCGCAATACAGTAGGGGTAGATCACGAATTCAAGAAAGCGAAGGAGGAGGTGGCAGCAGAAGCACGACGACGACGACGACGACAACAACAACAACGAGGACCGTGAATAACCACGCGAAGAATTTTTTTAATAAGTGACCGCCGGGGGAAAACAATTGTATGGGCGCTATGTCGCAGGCGGGTATCCCAACACCGGGGCGTGTTCGACTTGTAGATCTGCTCGCCGCGGACGGGCTTGCCTCCGACAATTATAAGCACGCAGTGAATGCTCTGTCGCAGTCGCTGGCTAGATTCAATGTAGTGGTGATTCAATTACAGCCCGGGGACGAAATTCTTCTCAGGTGCGTCCTCGATTCCGTGCGAATGTTCTTCCACCAGCGCCCGCCTCCGGGCCCAGACTCCGTGCACACGGACGACCCGCAAGATTGGAACAGAACGGTGGGCTACTACTCGGAACCCCACCATGTGAGAGAACTGTACGACTATCGCCCGGGGCGGAGCTCCCTGGAGGCCAACAATGGCACTGAGCTGCCGCCCGCGGGATTGCCCGAGCTCTTCGCGGTGCTGGGCAAGGCCTCGCGCGCAATCCTGGACGCCATTGGCTGCTCGCTCGAATTGCGAAGCTTCTCCTTCACGGATTTGCTCGACAATGTACCCCTGAAGATCAACGAGGTGTCCACGTCCGTGCTCTCGGCGTGCTGCTATGGCAGGCCCGGGGTGCACCACTCGGGCGTAGTGGCGCTGCCCGACCATCCCCACATGCCGCTCTTCGACGACCACGACCCGCATGCAGAGAAGGGGCTGCTCACGCTCATGAAATCCGACAAGCCCGGGATGCACATCCGGGACATGAACGGCAGGTGGATTCTGGCCGACGGCGACCTGGGGCCTGCGGACATGGTGCTCTACTCGGGCCTCTCGTTGTACCAGGCGACGGCGGGCTACCTCAGCCCCGCGCTGCACCGCACCGAGATCAGCTCCCTCCACGGCCACATGTACGGGCGCTGCTCTGTGGCCTTCAAGCTCATGCCCCGGGCCACGGCCATTCTGCACTGCTCGGCCATGACGGCCGCTGGCCACGCCGTCGCCGGGCCCTTCCAGCAGCCCGTGGCCGTCCACGAGTTCATGCAGCGCTCGCACCCCATGGACCAGCTCGTCACCCGCCCTGGGCTTCCCAGCTTCTCCTTCCCCACCCCCACAGACGGTAAGCGCCCAGGGGCAGCTTTGTAATGTGCGTGTCGCTGGCTGTAGGACTGTCTGCAGGACGGGACGACGAGTGACGTGAGCTCCGAGTGTTGCTAGTGAGTGTGAGCGAGTTTGAGTGAGTTTGAGTATTTGAGAGGGGCTGGGAGGTCTGACGTCCGTCGTGCTTGGCGTGCATGCTGCGGGGGAGTCGGTTCGCCCGAGAAGGCGTTTGCTAATCCAACTGACTTGCAGCCACACTCTTCAATGCAGTAACGGCGATGAAACCGGGCTCGAAGAGGAGGAAGCAGGTGTCGAGGGGCAAGCCTCTGGCCCCTTCGAAGAGGTTGCGGCTCGAGGCGCAGCGAGTGCTCAAGGACAGGGTCCAGGAGATTGCCGACAGCAAGGGCCTCAAGATCCGCTTCTGTAACTTCAAAGACTGCGAGGAGCAGCACCTCACCTCCATGGACAGCCCCTGTGCCGTGATGAGGCAAGAGATGGGCTGGCCGCAAGGAGTGCCCTTCGTCCACCCGCACGATTTGCCTAACAAGGCCAAGCAAGCATTTTTAGAAGCCTATGAGCCCGGTTGGACTGCTGCCCAGGATGGGGAGCTGGGTCTGCTAGAGGCCGGCCATGGGCACCACCAAATACATGCTTGTAAGTAAGTCTGCCTTTAGCTCTGCTTAGGACCTTCTCGCTGGTACATCACGGGTACGGGAACTGGTCTTCTTCGGGAGCTTCTTGCTCGTTCTTTTTCTTCTTCACTCAATCCAATTTACTGCATTTTTGAGAAGAGGTTGTTTTCGTACAATGCCGGTGGTTTCATGTGAAGATTACTTGGTAGATGATCTCATCAATCAGTGCAGTGTTTGAATGTAAGTACCTGGATGAGTATCTATCCTACTCAGAGTCTATGGTGTGGAGTTCTCTGAGTCCTGTTCATGCTTGAACTGAACCAGGTTGAGTTTAGAGTCCGGTGAGATTCCTTGCCACACACACAATAATCTGCCATAACTTTTCTGAAGTGACAGGAGCGCCGCTTGTGGAGGACCAACGGTTTGCGGTCCGGGCTGTTTATGATTACCTGCGAGCCAAGGGGAAATCTGTTCCCACTGGGAAACCGCAGGTTGTGGGTCACAAAGTAGACCTCAGTGGTCTCGCCAAGGCGTGCTTTGATGCTGGTGGGCGTGCACAGGTACTTGTTTGCCACTGCTCGAGTCAATTTGCAAAATTCAAGGATTCTTGGAAATCATTTGATTATTTTTTAGTAGTTAGCAGTCAAGTTTCTGGCAGGAAGTGGTCATGCTGTGACCAACTACTTCTGAGAATACATTTTTCCCAAGCTAGTTGGTCGACGAAAGTATTCGACTTGATAAGTTACAGCGCACGAGGTGTCTTTGAAATACCATTACCTGGATTGATTCAGTGCCAGATTCAAGTTAATAATAATGTGGGAGTTCCAGATGTTGAGAACTTAGCAGGCGATAGGAATGTGACCTTTTTGCATGTCAATAAGTTTCTTTACTATCAGAGGATCACAAATTTTTTATGGGTGCCCGTGAATGACATGTCGTATGTTCCAAGTCCGTACATCTTTTCCAGTTGAATCTGTTGTCCACCTTACCAACCCACATGGTCTTCCTTTTACATCATGCACCATTTAAATCTGAGATGAGAATGTTGAGTATCTTGAGTAAATTTCATCTTTCCTCGAAACTCGGACTCCGCATCGTAGCTGCCTTGATAGGTTGGAATCTGCCTACACTTTCCTGGACATTTGAGGAGTTCCTGTGTCCGAATCCCCTGCGAGGGAGGATGGTCTCGTCATGACTCTGCTGCGTTCCACGTGTGGACTTCCAAGCGCTCCGCTGAAGTCTGAACATGTGTATCGATCACACTGCTGTACAAGCGTTCGTCTCATGGTCTTAGAGCCGAACACTGTTGTGAAAATGCTCGTCCAGATTTTGCCAGGTCTTAGTCCCTCTTTTCGAAAATTTTCTGGGTCTCGAGTCACATGCCTGGTCTTTGAATCCAGGTCTTGCACAAAGTGAGAATGCGGAAGGGTCCCCCGTTTGACAAAAGGGCACAAGATTGTTCACACATGTGGAGCATAGTGGAACCTCCCGACACGTAGGGGAGATTTCAAGGCTCGAATAAGGTAGAGATAAGAGTAAGAAGCGGTCATGAGAAGCTCTCACTAGGAAATGTAAAACACTCTACACAACACTGTTCGGATGGAACTTAGGTAAGGGTTAACTAAGATTGCTGGGATTGGTGGTCATGGTTGTTTGGAGTGGCAGTTTGAGGCAGAAGAGGGCTTCCAACGCTTCATTGCAGGTCACTTTCAACTGGACAATGCCTCTGAAAAGGAGAAGGACCGAGCATTGGAGCGGCTCAAGAAACTCTATGACCAAGTGTTGAATGATTATGTCGAGGATCTTGTGGCAAGCTCCCAGCTGGATTGACTGTCAAAGTTTGTAGGAATTTAGTCCCATCAGTTTCTGTAGAATCAGGATCCAGGTTGCATGCAAATATACCCCGAGAGGAAGAGAGAGAGAGAGAGCGAGCGAGCGAGCGGTAAGTCTGCTCTGTCCTGACCCAGAGTTTTAACTACCGTCGAGGTGGCATGGCTTACTTATACCATATCCACTATGTGATCGAGGGAGAGGAGCGAGTTTTAACATTACCCAGAGGGCAAGAGTCTGTCCATACTGTAGTTACAATCTCAATTGGCTCTTGCTGGGTCACTTCGATTTAACTTACCAAATAGTAACTTAGAAGATACAGATTTACTGTAGGAAGGCAGCCCTAGATAGTTTACAAAATTTTGTACATAAAGATCAGATGGGTGTAAACCATTGTTATAATTAATCATGTCAAAAAGGGGCTGGGTCTAATGAATATGGCCCGGTATTATGGATAGTTTAGTGAGCTATCAGTACAGTCAGAATTTTAAAAATGGATCTCTATACGGCGCCAGGCAGTGCTCTTTATTGAAACTGTGGAGGTTTGCTCCACTCTTGTAATATCCGAACCCATATGAATCAAATATTTTGTAAAGGGACACTCTTACTTCAAACCTTTCCCCGTCTCTTCTCCTACTCCTGCACCTTCTGTCTGCTATTGTCCCCTCACGCACCACACTCGATTCTTTCTGCTCACGTGGTCACCTCTCTCACACACACTCTCAGAGTTCTCGCCCCTCATGACTTCGTCCAGTGTCGTCCAGCGTCGGCCTGCATGGACCAACCTGGCCACGTACCCGGTCCTGTGAACGGACCTTGAGTCGTGCGTGAAGTCTGGCATACACGGGAAGCTGGTGTCATGTGAGGTGAGCGGGAGAACGACGTGCGGTATTGGCTTGAGGCAAATGCCATGCTTACAAAGAACAGTAAGCAGTGTCTGAGCCCTCGACGCCACACAGAAGTCAGAATTCATGTGATCAGCTGGATGAGCTAACACGAGTGTCAGTGCGGGCTCCTTTCAAGTGCAGACGGCGTAGGTAAAAGTAAGCAGCAGCAGCATCAGCTCTGCAGGCAGGTGGGCGATTTTCAGCCAACACTTGTCAGCTGGCGGCTCACTCTCGTCCCTAAAGTGAAAAAGCCAGATTTTGTATCGTCTCCTCCCCTCACCTCCCCTCGCACTGCCCTCCCCTGTCCTGCCCTGGCGCTTCTGACATTCGAATCGTTTGGGAGCGATTTCTCGAGCAGCAGCAACAGCAGCTGCTGTCCTTTTCGCCTTCCAGTGAAACTATCATGTCTGACCCCAATCATTATCAGAGTCACGGAGCACCTTTCTCTCTCAACCAAGTCTAAACAAATCCATCACCCTTAGCTCACGGTACTCTCTCTCGGATTCACCTGAATACATCACGCTTCGAGAACCCGAGCTCGAGCCTTCTCCATCTACATCACGTACCTCGTAGCACTCAAAAGCCCAGCCCATGCAGCGATCTGACCGCCTCCCGGTGCTCCATCCCCATCACTGAGTTGACCGTTGGCGCGCCAACATGCTCATGCTGCTAACACATGACATCCATCTCCTGTCCCAGCCTTCCCCTTCCTCACCTTACCTTACCTTACCTCACCTCACCTTACTCCGGGAGAGTGGGACTCCGGGTCACCGGATGACCGCGCCGGAGAGTTCATAGTTTCCAGGAGGTCGAGCTCTGTAGCACTCGGTTGTCCCTATGGGGCTCACAGGCGCTGGATGCTTGCTCGTGTCATTAAGCTTTCTTCTGCAAGAGGACATCATTAGAGCGATTTCTCCCCTCACATCTGCGCAAGGTGGGTCATTGTTCTCCATGGCCATGGCTTTTTGCACAGAATTATTCGGGCTCTTCGGTACCGAGCTGGGTGTCCATCGCCCAGGGGGGTCTCTCCTTCCCATTCCGGCTCCGCTCACGAGAGCGGAAGCGGACAGAGCTGGTGCACTTCATTTATTGCCCGGTCACCGGTAACATGTTACGACAAAGAATATTATTGCATGCTTTGTTTTCCTCTTTCGGTGTTGAAATATTTGCCCCGCCTGGACAAGATCTCCGATTCCGTTGATTCCCAATTGGTTCCCAGTCTACAACATCCACGGCCAGCCAGCTACAAATTGCGTCGCTCGTGTTCTTCTCGCCTGCTCAACCTCCTGCAATTTGAGCCTCGATCTCCTCGCTGCCCTGCCCCTGCCCGGTTTTATTTGTTAGAATCGAACGGGGGTCGGGGGTCACGGGAGGGGCCCGAGGCTGAATGGTAGGACCACAAGGGGCTCGTCGCGTCACTCGGACGGGGCGGGGGGAGATTCGGTCGTCCATCGGGACAGTGCGGAACGGTGAAGGGAAACGAGCTCCGGAAGGGAAAGAGAGATAGAGAGAGAGAGAGAGCCGATGTGACACTCCTCTTGAGGCGGGCGGGCAGGGGCGGGGGTAGGGGCGTCCAAGTCTCCGAGAAAGAGTCAATCATCGTCCTTCAGTCACCTGAGGAAGCGAAGGAATGATTGACCATCTGACCATCTGCATCATCAAGATGGCACTTCCGATCCCATTCCGATCCTTCGCCAGCACGTCAAGGAAACAAGGAAGGGAGGGAGGAGGAGTACATGGCGCACCATTCGGCGTCGACGACGTGGAAAAGCGCAGCGTCTTATCAAGATTGGGGCTACCGGAATCCGGACCTTGGGGGAATGAGAATGTCGTCTTATGTATGGACTGCAGAAATCTGCACTCTCCAAAGCTTCTTCTTCTCCTACGCCTCCTCCTCCTCCTTCTCTTACAGCCCCCGTTGGCCCCCTCTTTAAGGACAGAAGGCTGAACCCTCACAGATACTCTTTTGTTTCCTTCTGAAGCACAAGGAAACAAAATCTCTCTCGGGCGCGAGCGAGCGGGCGAGCGGGCGGCATATCTAAGTTTTAAATTTGACTGCTTGCCACCTTACGTTGTCAGAATCACTCGCTCAAAGCAAGAAGGAGGAAGAGGACGAGGTGGAGGAGGAGGAGATTCAGTGCTCGTGCCGATCTCCGTTCGTCGAAGAAAGCTTTTCACCTCAGCGCTTGGTGAACGATTCTCTCCATCGTTGACCTTCTTTCCCACCTCGTCAGCTTGTGCAAACGCATCGAGCGCCGCTACTGAGCAAACTGCTGACACCACGACATCGAGAAAAACGAGCAGCGCACGAAAGTCCCCATCGATTTGAGGTCAGGTCAGGTCAGGTCAGTCGGTCGGGTCAGGTCGGGTGACTTGGGTCGACTACCCTCTGTCCCGCCTCCGCCCGTGGCGATGGAGTGGAAAGATAAGAGGTGCAAAAAGGACGCAGATTTGCGGTGAATGGAAGGCAAGAAGAAAGGAAAGAAGAAAGCGGAGGCTAAACATAGAAAAAGGCGTTGTCTTGGAAGAGTATAAAGTGCATATTCTCGTGGCAAAGAAGTGGAAAAATTCGTACTTAGCCTCGAGAGTTTCAGATCAGGTCAAGAACGGGGCGAAGAGCTCCGGATTTCTGTTGGACATGATCCATCATTCGCCTCAGCGCCTAGCGGAGGAGTAGAGTGCTGGGTCTCCTTGGGCTCTCTTCTTTCTTATCCGGTGGTACCCGAGTTTGGGGAATCTTTTTGGAAGACCACCGCGTGCTGCTCTGCTCTTTTCAAATTGTCTAATTTCGTTCGGGATCGTGCTCATGGCTCGCGCTTGTCGATTCTGTTGAAAGTATCTCGCGGTGTCTCCCGAGTCGCGGGGAAGACCTTTTGTTGATCGAGAAGGTTGGAGACATGCATCAGAAAAGAAAGCTTCAGCAATGCAAAACCGGAACTTCGTCTGGTCGCTTTGACCGACGACCCATGACGAGCCGGAGAGGGTTGAAGCGACGGTTTGTGTGCTGCTTTTTCCAATCTTGAAATTCCTACACGACCCTGACTTCGACATGGATGCAACTCTCTCCCACCCTCGCCCCAGTGCCCTGAGTCCAGTTTGTGGGCTGAACATCTGTATGTTGTTGGGCTCGCGTCTGTCTCAGGTAGCCACTAGCCAGCTCGCGAGGCCGCCCTACAGCCGTGCGCAAGTGGTTGACTAGCCTTTAAGGGGTTGAATGTATTGGAAGGAAGTTAAATCGGAGCGACAGAGGGGGCCAAGAATTTGTGTAGGAGCTTATCTCGAATCTTGCCGACATTTTGTGCTCAGGTTCCTGTCAGCTCGCCGTCTGGACCAGCGGCGGTGACTTGTGGTCCAACTTACAGTCCCGGTCTGAAGATAGATCGGAAAAGGCATGACGATGCCTCACTTTGCGCGGTGGAAACGAATCAGAAGACAAACTTCGAGTGTATCGGGAATGACAAAGATATGTAGTGCACATAGGTATACTTCTTCTTGGTGAGTGATTCCATCAACACTAGTCCATTGCCTCCGTGTCTATGTAGGAGTTGGCATTGCGTCTCCTGTTTTCCATCGTGCCTGGCAGATTCTTTGGCTTCTAACATTTGTAACCTCACCTTCGTGCAAAGCCTTGATCCCACGTCTTCTTGTTTAAGCAGTTGCTAACCCTGGAACTGGAGAATGATTCCTGTTACATTTTTTATGTCTTTCCAATTCTTTTCAATGTTTCGTTTCGTGCGTTTTAATGGCTTCCCATATCTGATTGCAAGTCTGCCCTTCGTCGGACTTGCAATCTGAACTGCGTTCAGGAATCCTTAAGGCGTATCAGTCTCGCGGATGGAAAAACTGATTCCTCCGATTGCCTCTATTACCATTTAGCACTTGCGTAATACTAGCCAGGACGGGAGAACCAAATCTAAACATCTCTCTGTTCGCCCACATGGCAAAAAGGTTCCATTAGGATATATTTGACGTTTGTCTGATGACGCAAAGCTCATAAGTTGGTTGCGCGATAAATTGTAGTAAGAAAGTAACTAACACACACATATTAAAACCTACTCATGAGAGTGCCAGGTATATTTTACTGCCACTCACACAAGTAAGAGCTTTTTTGTTATCGCGAGATTTTGGGTCAATATAGTCTTTAACATCTTAATAATATATTGTTTTTAAAAATTCCCTAACATAAATCATATATCTTTGATTTTATATTGTATAGAAACTTTTAGCGAAAAATTAAACATTAATTCATTTGAAAATGTGATGTATAACTTACATATGTTCATGATTATATAAATTGAAAAAAAAAATGCATTTATTACTACTTTAAAAAAGATGTGTCACAATAAACCTTAACATTATATTATATCAAATATACACGCCAATAATATCATATTATAAAACAAGTAAACTCGAAGTATCATACATCTATTTGAGAGTGAAGTGACCAATGTGATATCTCCGAATAATGAACAACAATGAATGAAGATTTTTTTCTATAAAATATTGCATCTTGGTATAATTTACATAAAAAATATTATAAAAACCAAATCGATTTCATTTAAGATATATTTAAAATTGAAATTAGAAATAAAAAACGTAATTTATCAGATTTATATATTAAAATTATTTTAAATCAATATAAATTTAGATATGATTATCACAAGGTTAGATATGTATAAAACATTGGAAAGAAATTATCATAATTATTAATTTAGAATATAACATTGCTATTTTTAGATTTGTGAATAAAGTTTATTTTTTATATTGCAAAGAATAGGACTATTTATGTAGTTCAAAAGAATAATATAATCATCATAATTCCAGATATTTATTATATTATGTGATGCTATAGCTATATGTAATTGCTTAATATTTATGTAGATTATAAAGAATAGTTCAAAAGAACAAAAGAATTCACTTTCATTCAAAATTTTTAATATCAAATCTCAGGTTTGATAGAAATTTGTATTATTTGATCTGTTCATGTTTTCTATTAGAAATGATATTTTATTAATTGAACTTATATATTTAAACTAAAACACAAATTAATGATAAATTTCAATTAAAAATAAACTTTAATTTAAAGATTAAATAAAAAGTTTGTCAATTTTTTTCAAAATTTGTTTTACAACTCATATGTAACACAAAAGAAAATAAAAACTGTGCAGATTGTCTCATAAATCACCAAGTATCAACATGTGTTGAGGTTAATTAGGGTTTAGTTTTTAGTTTTTTATAGTTAGGCTGGTCGGTATATATAATACAAGGTTTCTGCACTGTAAAACTGCTTTTCACATACTATAGTAAACTCATTAACGAGAGTTCCTCATGGACATAGCACTCCGAAGGATGAATCACATTATTCGTTGTGTCTTGTGTGTTTGCTGGTGTGTTTGTTGGATTTACTTAGTATTGAAAATTCTTAGTTTTAACCTTGACAAATTGATATTAGAGTTGGTGACGTTTTGTATCGGTGTGTGGCAGGTCTTTGTCGTCTGAGTCAAGGGCAAACTTTGTTGATGATTTTTTACCAATGACAGTGATCTATAGATTTCGGTTTTCTAAAGCAGATGGTTTTTTAACAATGACGTAATTTTTTTCATAAAAGTTCGACAATTATTTTTTTCAGTTGAGTCTAAGTTCAAAGTTCGAGTTGTCTTAAATTCAACAAGTAAAGTTTGTGAAATTCACGAGGATCAAAAACTATTATAAAAGTTTGTGGAAATTGACAAATTTGAGGCAAATATGGGTGGCAGACAGAAGTTCAAGAAATTTGACAACTACGAGTTGAGATGAGTTCGGAAGCTTGTCGAAGCAGATTTGCATTTTGTGATCTTCATTGGCCTTAGAGTCGTCGATCCTGGTTCATGCAAATTCTTTGGGAAGTGAGTTCCGATGTATTTTGCATGCGTTCCTGTGGAGGAGTTATCTTCTTCTAGTTTGGAGAGTTTCGTCTGTAAACTAGATGCCTTGAGTTCATGAATGAGCTTACTTGTTAGCTGTTGGTCGGAATGGCCTGCTGCAACCTGTTGAAGAAGATCAACAGAAGACACTCGAACTCGTGGAACACAAAGTGATTTTGATGTCACACAAAAGTGGCAGGCTTTTCTTATGTAAAAAGCAGGCATTTAAAGACCAAATACACTAGGTAACTCCTTCCTAAATGCACGACACACACGCACTATTGATCATGCCATCACATGATCACGTACACGCCATGCTCGATACTAAGAACTCGGACACAATCCTGCATGAACATCACACATGACTCGCTCCACCTCACGACGCAGCGCGGCGAGAGCGAGAGAACCGAACACTACCTAACAGCTTGTGCATACCGGCAAATTATGAAAGATTAAACTTAAACCAGTATACAAGCTAGATTATCTAACATTAGCTCCCGAGGTTCGGAACATGATGATGACGTTGTTCTATCAGCATATTGGGCAAAGAGTATGCAACTATGCACTTTGCAGAGATGGTAGCAATCAGTTTTGAGTGTTAATTCTCTCTAACTCTTGTATTCCTCTAACAATTTCTTTGAACAAATCGTTGTCATAATGTTGATTCTTTAGGCGAGATTTTTCATGATAACAAAATAAACAAAAGTGTTTATCTTGTTGTATCAAACTTTTGATATTAGACTATGTTGGTAAGATTTACAAAAGCTAGTTTTGGTCGCCATATGAGGAGATTGATCAAAAAGCTCCAACTGATTCAGACTTCCAACTATCTTATACTGGATCGTATCTTTCCCTAAAGGTTGAAAACATATTAGATAGTACAATTATAACTAAAGATAGTGAACGAGGGAATTGAAGCTGGAAATAATATAAAACAAATGTATGCATCAGTACAAAATGCTTAGAAGTAGTAAATCGATGGAATACATTAAAGAGATGGGCTATCTAATTGATGAGGGAAGGATCCACTATAATGCAAGAATGTTCTTCGATGATCATCAGCAATATTTGGTTTGAAGAGTTCGTTTGAGGCAAAGACGATCTCATGCAAAATGCAAGCAGACCGCAGTAAAAATTTCATATTCAAATTCGAGGCTAGCATGGGTAAGCAAGCGCGGACGTACAGATGGCGATCAGCGAGTTGCAACTCCAAAGAGCATGATTTTTCACAAGTGACAATATTTTTGAAATTGTCGAAGCAAAGCGAGACAAAATCGGATGAAGAGAGTCGCAACGAGTCACAAGCAGACTGCGACAATCGCGGACGTGCGGACGGGCGATTGCTCGTAGTAAGACAAAGGACAGTTGCGCAAACGGGTGAAGCATAAAATCTAGGTAGGTGATTCAAGAGTTTAAGTACCAACCTATTCAAGATAGTTCTTCACAAGGCTTGAAAGAAGAATTACTTGGAGTGGGAAAAAAACAGAGTGATCTAGAGGCATTGCAGCCAAGAGAAGATATGATGATCATGCAAAGAATCAGAATTCAATATCAATCTTTCTTGGATAAGGGAAAACAAAGACTGATGAATGGATAGAAGATTCTATTGATATTGCTCAGTACAATAGAGAAGATGTTATCAAGGTTAGTACATTGGCTGGAGTGCTAAGAGTAGAAGCGAAACCTTGGTACAATGCGTTGGCAGCCAATATTAAGACTTATTGAAACTTGTTTAAAGTTGATTTCTTGCTTGAATTTAGGAAGGTGAGAGAGTAGACAGAGACACTCATTAAGATAGGCCAAATGAAAATGAAGAAAGAGAAAAATGTTCGCAAATTTTTGCAGAAGTTCCAGCGGATGGCAAAAAAGATTGATCATCCACTAGTAAATTTCATGCTCATATCATGATTTGTTTATTCCCAACCTCAAAAGATGGATATTTCTATTCGACAAGCTCATCCTACCACCTTGGAGTAGGTTGTGGAAGCAATCATGTACTACAAAAGTGCTTATGTTTCTAGTTCTAAAAAACATAGAAAGAAGAAATATCAGTCAAGCTCAAAGAAAAGTTCAAATGAATCTAGCTCACAATTTCTAGCTCTAGCTTAGACTCAAGCTTTGGTTCTGAAGCTTATTCAAGCTCAAAAAAAGGGTTAGACAAATGGAACAAGAAGAAGCACTTCACAAAGAAGAGCAAATCTGCATCCAGCAAGAAATACATAAGCTTCAAGAAGTCTTCCACCAGCAAAGGTATAAGTGATGGTGGGCCGATCACTAAAGAGAAGAGTCTAGATGGCAAGGTGAATGACCTTGCTAACTACCTCAAAGCTCTATCAGTTCACTTCGCTGGATTGTCTTCCAATCGCAGGAAAGTACCAATTAGTCGGACGCATGTTTGGTGTGTACGTTGTAAATAGCTAGGCCATGCACCTAATGAATGTTCTATTTGGCATCCGCAAGTTCAGATGGTAGATGAAGAACTTGTTGATCAGTATAGTTTGTCGCTGGTTGAACCTACGGAGTTTTTCTATGAATAAGCACCAAATCTGATGTACCAGATGTTTGTCAGGCCTTGGAACCCGCATGGACGACCTACAGCCTTCTTAGCTCGACCTGCAGATCAGAATTCAGGATGCTAGAGCAGCTTCTATATTGATTATGGTAGTGTGCTACAAGTGCAAAAAATTGGAACATTATTCTAACAACTATCTAGAGTCCAAAAGACAATGATATGACATTTCATCACCGCTTTGTGCAATCTGCAAGAGAGATAGTCATACAACAGCCAATTGCCCTATGGCTGCTGCATTTAAATTGATCTGAAGTAGACATGAGTCATCTCAACCCACAGCTGCAAAGGCACTAGGAGAAACAGCCGTGAGTTTCATTGGGATGGAATGGCAAGAGAAGGGAAAAAAGGAGCAGCCTCAATGGGAGTTTTCAAAAGAAATCCTAGGAACAGAGACTCCACAAGTTGACGAGCACTTCTACAAGGTCATAACTAGATGTATGAGAAGGAAGGAGAAGAAGTAATAGCAGATCAAGGCTAAGAAGACTAAGTAAGAGTCCTCCAAGTCTGGTGTATCTCCTGAGCAAGATAGTGACTAAAAGAGTATATCCAAAACTTTTCTTTCCTAAAGTTAATGAGGAATATGAGACATTGGAGCATGAAAAGTCTCTTTCTAAAGACCTTCAAATCATCAGATCACGAGCAATTGTGGAGGAAAAGAAGGTGAAAGCCAAAACTTGTGAATCATTGGTTTCTTATGATATTAAGAGATATGTTAAGAACTGTCTAATCACGGCCACATTAGTACAGATAATCAAAGACAACCCTTTTTACAGGAGACAATTGAAGGAAATGCTAGCAGGCAAACGAAGAAGGAAATTGCCAAAGGTGGATATGATAGACCATGCTGCACTTGAAATTGATATTCAAATCAGTGGCTGTTTTCTTTCTTATGGTGTGATGGATGGAGTATCCGGAGTGAACATCAAGATTGAGGCTATTGCCCATCAATTCGATTCTTCACAACTAGAAACCACCAGAACTGTGAAGCTAGCCAATGGAGCTAGGATGGTGCTAGTGGAATCTTTGAGTAGGGTCCCAACTCTTATAGGTGGCAAACATATCTTGCTAAATTACATGATCATGAGACTAGACATGTCATCTACTTAACTAGTGCTAATTGACAGGCTCATGTTGTATGGAGCTAAGGTGACTATTGATTGGAAGAAGAATGAGTTCATATTCAAAAAGAATCAATAATAGTGTCTTAGAGAAAGGTGGAGCATGAAGGGGAGACAACTTAGATTGATGAGGAGTATGATTAAGATCTCTCAAACAAATCAGAGGTGGATGATACACATACACTTGATTCAGGAGAGGTTTTGCAAGAAAATCATTCATCTGCAAACAACAACTTGCGATTTTCTATAATATCATGCAGATCAGGAGTTGGAAAGATACAAGTATCATAAGCTAGTAAATTTGATCTCCTAATGGCTCAAGAGATCCAGAAGAAACTAGGTGCACCCAACAAGTTAATTGATTTCAAAGAAAAAGTGGAAAACAAGGAGGAAGTCCATGTCTATGGTGGTCTAAGGCTGGCATCTTTAGTGGAGAGCTTGGATTCTCGTGTGAACAACAAGATGGATGTTATCAAGTCGGAGCAGTACAAGAAAATTTCAGTCAAGTAGGTCAAGGATTTCAATCTAGTATATGCTTTGAAATCATATAACTAAAAGTGCATACATGAGTTGCTTGTTGAATATTTGGATATTTTTGCTTGAAACCATAGAGATATCACATGTGTAATTCCTGAGCTATGAGAGCTTAGGATTGATTTAATGGTGGAAGCAAAGGCAATTAGGCAAAGGCAGCACCGCATGAATTCTAAGTACTCCTTGATGATGAAGAAAAAATTGAACGGTTGCTAGATGCTGGTTACATATATCCAGTAGTCAATAGTGAGTGGATGTCTCCTCTAGTGATGATAACTAACAAATCTGGTTCAGATAGAAGACCAAAAATCCGAATTTGCCAAGACTTCAAAAAGTTGAATGATGCCACTAAGAAGTACTATTATCTCATTTATTGATATGATTCTTGATATAGTAGCAGGTCAAGAATTCTATAGTTTTACTTATGGTACAACTAGGTTTGGATCAGAAAGTAATGGAAGGTGTTTGACTTCAGACGAATGTCATTTGGGTTATGCAATGCTCTAATGATGTTTCAGAAATTAATGATGAACATTTATCATGACTTTTTGCAAAAATTTCTGGAGGTTTTCATTGATGACTTTGCTGTGTATGATCTAGATACTTATCACATTGATTGCTTGAGGAAAATATTTCAACGGTGCAGGGAAGTTGGTCTAAGGTTACATCCAGAAAAATGCTACTTTGTTGAGACAAAGGAAGTTCTTTCATAGTATGTGTGAGATGATAATAAATTTTGACAATTTGAAGAAAATGCAAGACAAAATATCAACATTCAAAGTACTTGTTCATATTTTAGGTAGTATAGGTTTAGAGAACACAAATATACATCAAACTTTCACTTCACATTTCATCAATGAAATGTCAAATTAAAACATATCACCTTACAATGATAACAATATAACTCATTTTTTAATATATAATAATAAATTTGTCCCTCACTTTATGATTATTCAAGGTCTTTTGTGATTGAAAAATCATTGTCAATACTAGTAAGATCGTAGATAACATGTTAGGATTTCAAACTTTGAGAATTCCAATTCATTGTACTGTACTAAGACAATTTTGAGACTAGATCAAAGATTGTCAACCAAATCAAATCAAAAAATATTATTCATGAATGGAAATCAAGATGTCAATATAACTCAAAATATAGTCTAAGAATTTTTTAAAATTAAGAACATTATGATTAGTTTCCTTATGTACTCTATTTCATCGCAAGTCATATCTTAATCTAACTTAATTATAATCGAATAAATATAGTGGGATCATATAAATTTAGTTTAATGTTAAAACTATCATTCTGATACCAAAAATGGAGTATGAGTTCATCCTCTCCGAAATGAATCATCAACCTAACGGTATGCTATGCAGCTTTCGGAAATGTTGACAATGCACGAACATGTGTTCAACGTATTATTTTCTTGCAAGAATCTTTGTAATAGTTGCAATCTTTAGTTATTAATCATTGTTCTTGAATTATATACTTAGGAGTATCATGTTTGATTGTGTTTTTTCCATAAATGCATCAATATGTAACAAAAATCTTTACAATAATTTATTGAGTAATTATTAGTCATTTTTTTTTATTTATATACTTAGGAGTATCATGTTTGATTGTATTTTCTCCATAAATACACCAATATGTAACAAAAATCTTTGCGACAGATGCAGTAAGTAGTTATTAATCATTGTTCTTGAATTATATACTTAGTAGTATCATGTTTGATTGTGTTTTCTCCATAAATGCACCAATGTGTAACGAAAACACACTAGGATCGGATACTTGAACTGAGCGCTAATAAAATTATTTTTTTGACTGGTGACGACTTAACATTAGATGATCGGTTTAACATTTCCCCTGAATTTAATGATGACAAAAACTGAAGTTATTACTTGCCTCAACTACCACCAAACCTACTTTCCTTCTAAAGCAATGCTTTTCTCGGCCGGTTGGTTCTATTAATCTCAATTTTCGACATGATCCGCATTAGTTCTTTTCTCTTTCACTCTACCGACCATACTTAAACTGTTGATTAGATATAAAGACCTGACATAAACGTACTGCTAATATGTGCGTGATGCGCGTATTTGGTTTTCCACGTAGCCCATTTCCCAGTGATGGCATGCATCTGCCCTAGTCGCCTGATTTAATACTAAGATCTTCGTTTCTGTAGTAATGGGTGGAAAATTCCATGTTGTGGGTAGAATATCTGCGGAATTTCTCATCTCACATCTAACGACTGACATAACTTTGTAACGCAGAAAGGTATCGATAGATGCGTCAGGCACAGGTCAAATCAGAAGATATCATACATGAGTCATTAAAATCATGAGTCTTCTGCACCAGTGTCACAAAGCTTTTCGAAGCCTAGCTATGCCGAGTACCGCCGAATTCAAATGAAGGAATAAATGAATCGATGACTTCACGACACTCCATGCCCAGGTCGTGATTTGTTTAATAATTTAAATCAGAAAATGCAAAACGAGTCAAAGAATTTATACATGAGAGAAACGATAAGATTCATAAAATGGTAATGCAATGGTACCCTTCAATTATGGTTAGATTAATTCAAGTAGTATGTGGATCGATAAACAAGACTACTCCTGAAACTAACATCTACTGGTACAAAGGCTTGGGTTTCAATTCATTGTCTACGTATCCTGGCGAGTGGTAGCATCTCCAACAAAATAAAGCTTTCCATTTTTACACGAGATGATACCATACTCAAGCAGCATCGTGTAAAATTAGGCTTCTAGGTTAAGACTACAGCGAATTCTTCAATAAAAACAAGGTTCCGCTTTCTCAGAAGCCCAATAGCTCCGAGTATGTGCACTGCTTACCATTTTACAGTCATCTTGTTAAAATATTCAACACAAACGTCCCGCTTACCTTTACTGCCCTGAATCAGCAAGATTAGACGTGACAAGACAAAAACTGAAACCTCAGAATGTAAATTTACACTAACCGCCTTCTGTAACTGTACATGTGTCTCCCTCAACTACCTACCGATATGTTTGAGCGGCCCCGAAGCCATAGTTCTTCATTCCATTCTTTTGACCACCTAAATTTGATTCCATGAGCGAAGCAGCCATGCCACCATCTTGTTGCATGTCATTCATGTGACCATCAAGTGTCGAAAGGGACTCTTGCAGCATCTGACGAACTTCCTCCCTCTTCCTTCAAAGGACAGTTCCATATATGTAATTGCATGTTAGCATCAGAAAAGAAGGAAAGTCCTGATAAAGGCTCACTGTCAGAAACTGAAAATTATAAACATATCTCCCTAACTGGGCGGTGCCAGTAGTAACAGGCAGAATAGCCTATAGGCTTTCTATTTGTTAGGAGAAACCAGAGCTGGAAGTTATTGCAAAGACAATTACTTCTTCACGATTTCCTTCAACACATCTATGCTGGTCCTAAATATCTCCTGAACAAAAAATTTCCAAAATGTGGAGCCGAAACCCCACGTCTGGTTGGATAGACCCTGAAACCTCGTGTATCTGGATAGTCCAAAACATGATTTGATAAAGTAAAGAAGAGACTACTGAGGTATATTAAGAGGTGGAGTTCAAGACATTCAGACTTAACCAAACATTTCGCATGTAAAACCTTTTACGTGTGACCTGTCCCGTTTTAGCGGATTCTCTGATCTGGTGCTTATATGTACTGTCAGCAGGAGTCACCAGTCTTAAATTCTGTCCCAACAACAATCTTCAAACCTAGAATAGGTGATCTAGATGGGTTCTCAGCATAGACCCTCTCCTGTTACCACTATTGAGTCATAACATGTAGTGTATATTTCGCAAGACCGAGTACAAGTACTCAAAGCGAGCGTGAGAACTATAATGATATGTAAAAGGCATGCTCAGAAAAATAAAAGGAAAGACAGCTGCACGGGGCAAACGTGATCGGTGGTGAGAGCTTAATACGTCAGGCAGAGTGCATACATCTGAGCAATAGCTAAAGCATCTTACAGCGAAAGAAACCAAATTCTAAGTAGAGTACATTCCAAGCAGCAGAAGGTGTCCACGGCGTAGCTGAAGTATTTTAACAGAAGTCGAACACTAAGAGAAGAAAGATTGTCGATGTTACCGAAAAGGTAAGCAGAATAGGATATGCTAGCTTTGAATGTAATGGCGCTGGATCCAGAAGCTGGGATCAGCTTAGAAAATGGGCGGGCGTCAACTCGCCCCAGCTATCCCCAATATCTTACCAGCCCCCTTGTACAGGAGCAAGAGTCTAATCCAGGTTTCAAAGTGAGGAAATTCGCGCTAGGTTTCGATAGATTCAATAAGAACCTAGTATCTTTGCTCCACGAAGATGGAAGAAGAAAAATCGTTCTTTCATGAAATTCAGAATTACTTCAACATACTAATATGCAATACACATACAGCAATTTAGCACTGAGCAAAAACAATTGAAATAGCGATTGACCAAAAAACTAGATGACATGGACCCATCGTAAATGACACCAATGGAGAGCAGATCATTTTAATGGCTTGTACATGTCAATACCATGATGTTATGTCAGCAAATGAAACAGGGTGCCAGCTAAGATAGATAATGAGTTTCTATTTCTCTCAAACTCCTGATAAAGAGCGTCAAATATCCCCAAAGTGACTTTGCACAGCATTCCATGTAGCAGATTTTCTATGGCCTCATTAAATGATGAACAGTTCTTTGGACACACTGGGTAGAGCTTCAATGATATGACAAATGCAAATTATCATCATTACGCTCATGGGTCGATAGCTTTTTTTAACTTACCGACGAATATCAGCGACAGCTTTTTTCCGTCTCTGGATTTGTGATTCAAGTATGTGAATGAGAGTAGCTCTAGCCTGCAAAACAAGGGGAGAATAGTCACCAACTGGTCCACCATACTCCTCATTTCTTATTTTGAGTTCCAACTTGTAGGTAGACAAAGTTGATCATACAAAATTTCGCAGGACCAACCTGATGAGGCCGCAATGAGTTGAGAAGATGGTGCATATTCCTAAGTATAAGACCCATATCTTCCACTCGCCGAGCATATTGAGATGGTCTTTCAACCAGCACATCTGATAGCTCCAAAAACTGGAAACTAAGTTCTCGATTGAGCGATCTGAGCTCTTTCTTGTAGTCTGCAGATGTCACAAACTGAGGGTGAGCAGCACTGAAGAAGAGTTGCCCTTGCCTACTTATGCGTACTGTTATTTACTGACATCGAACAGGAAGTAAAAACATCATCTTCGCATGAATTTACAAGGCACATTGTAAGATACCCTGCACTGCATAGAACTAGCTGATGTGAGGAACTCTCGCATGATTCTGTGTGAGCATTCAACAAAAGGTCTAAGAACCTCATGAACAGAGTACGAAATCCACTTACCCACATTCGGACCCGTGGGATAAAGTTGCCTCAGCCCTTGTTCCTCCAAACTTGGTAAAACATCGTCCGTCTGTGAAGCAAAGATGAGGCATTTTTCAGACAATGAAAGAACAGAGAGTATGACAGAAATCAAAATTCAAGCGGCTACGCTCGAATTGTTCGGCTCAGGAAACCAAAGTGAGTATTAACACCTCCAATTCTGGGAATTCTATCACGTTCTTAGCAGGTATACACACCGTGTAGTTGGCGCCGAAAAGGTTGTAGGTGCCCACGACGGGCGGGGGAGGGGCAGGACAGGAGTCAGGATTCTCAGAGAAGTCCTTGTACAATCTGTAATAGGGCGGAGGCGGAGGATAAGCTGAGGCCGCCATATCGTCCTCTCAGAAGAGAAGTCCAGTACCGAAAATCCGTCAGCTCAAAATTGACCAAAAACGATCGACAGTCGTCAAGAAAAACTCGCACTTCACTGACTACGCCCTCTGCCACCAACTAGACATTTCTCCCACAAAAAATTCTAAATAAGACGTCGCGGTTCCATCGGGATTTTCAAGCTGCAATGTCCTCACAACCATCGAACGAACACTGACTGGATGGGCGCCGGACGCCCTTCGACGCAAAATTGCACCGAAAAGCTCAAACAATCGAAACCGACATTGAGCAAAAATCAAACGCTGTGTTCAATCGGAAGATGGAACGAATGCCCGCCGAGATTCAAAGTTTCGTTCTTAGGGTGCACGAGCACCGGAGTCCTAGAGATAGTGATGATCACCGGCCGTTCGGGCCGACCGGCAATCCTGGTGACGTTTACCGGCAGAATCCCAGAATTCCCCGCGAACAATCTCCTCTCGCGCGTGCCCTGGCGCAGCCCGGCGTACTGGGAATGCATCCGCCGTCCGGATCTGACAGGGTATCTGGATCACGCCGTCGGGCTTCACATTCACGGACACATTCCAATGAATCTGATGAGTACGGGTCTACTGTACCTTCATCGTATCGGATGTGAACTGTACGACGGATCGTTTGACGATAAAACCTGAACACAACATCGAGAATAACAAAATACAAAGAGAGCCAAGGGAGAGAGAGATGCGAAATGTACTAATACTAACCTTATTAGCGAACATTATGGAAAAACTACGGATAACTCGATCAAATATACATTAAATAAATTATCCAACCATTTTAAATTATAATTATAATTTATAATTTTTATACATTAGAACTAAATATATACAATTTCCAAATTTCGAAATGAAAACAGCTAATAAGGTTCTCTTTCTTATATATATATCAACAAAGATAAAATCACTATCTCAGTACTTGTGGGGATTAATAAAGTATTACTTTATCACAATATAATACATAATGAACAATCAAAAGATGGTATTAAAGTCTAATCAAATTAGGTCTAGTGAGAAATTAGATCTAGTGAAAAATAATCACTTAATAAAAATGAGAAAAATATATGTCTATACACATGTTCATCATTATAATACTCTTGTATGTTTTCATCTTATGTGATTTCATCCTCAGACGACAGAGACAACAAAAATGTTCAATCTATTAAAAATTGAAATTGAAATCTATTGGATTCTATAATGATGGTAAGAATTTCATCTTGTTTAATTTGAATATTCTATATTGAAGTGTCAACTTTCATCACTTTTGTTTTTTTTTTTTTTTTTACTTTTCATATTCTCATGCAAAGTATATATAGCTTGCTATTGTATAGGTTCTAGATTTTTTTGTATTTTTTCGTTTTTTCATGATTGCATTGAATAGTTTACTTGTATTAAATAATATTCCGATGACTTTACTTGATCATGCTAATATAATGTAACATTGATAACTATCCAACCTTTTTTATGTCCTTACTTTATATGGAAATCAATGATCTCAAGTAATTTCTGTTTGTTTCAAAGATTGATGTACACAATCATTTTCTTGTTATTTCATGAATTAAACTCAAAGATATAATTCATATCCAAGCAAAGAGCAATATCGTTTTTATACCATTGGATTTTAACATTCAAACTTTTGAGTCAAAAAAGATGTGATATATATAATACAAGGATACAATGTATTTTCTTTATGATTAACTTCACTCCTTTTGGATCTATAACATGACATATACCACAAAAAAAATATTGATATTTATTATGTTCTCAATTAAAAATTGTAAATGTTAACTAAAAATAAAAAAATTGCTAATTTTTTATTTTTGACTAAAACATTCAAAATTTTATCTACCAAGCATGTTTAAATATGAAATGAAAAATTTAGATTCTCCACGATAATTCTTCATCTTCATTTTGAATAACTTCTATCTTTGTATTTTTTGATTAAAGATGGTGATAATAATATTTTGAAATTTGAAATTTTCAACAGTTTTACATAATCTGATAATCAAAATATTAATTTTGACACAAAAAATACATTTAAATTATGAAAAGAATGATCAAATTACATCTTACATAAAAAATATAAATCAAACTAGATCATTGTAACATAACAATAAGATTTTTCTTCTTTATAACTATATCATCAAGATGTATAACACTTTGAAAAAAACTAGATCAAATCATGTATTGCATGTATAATCCAAATTTGATGAAATAAAATTAGATCTTAAAAGCATAAAAATGCAAAAATGTATATTTTCATGTGGTGCGAACTTCACATGTGTTAAATATTACTTTCATATCATCATGTCTTAAATTTTTTTAAGTTCAGATCAAACATTTCGATCATTTATGTGAAATCCAACAAAATACTGTGTGATAATTTTGAACCGACAGTATTATTGCATGACATATTTTTTAACAACTTGCCAAAATTTAAAGATATAAAAATATATATACATCAAATTGAAGTTTAGCCAGGGAATAGATCTTACATCAACACTTAAAAAAAATGTCATATGCATAAAAGATTACAAATTTTGTTCATCAAATCATCCTTAATATAACTTCATCATATATCATTCTCCCTCTTTCATCATCAATTAGTGCTCTTGATTCACATAACATGTAAATAATATTCCATATTTAAAAAAACATTTGTACATATATATAATAAAATAGATCACACACCTTTTTTTACAAATCATTTTTTATATAACTTTATCATATATCATTATCTCTCTGATGTAGTTGATGCTCTTAATTCACATAAAATTTAAATAATATTTCATATTCTTTATATTTACATATATATATATATAATGAAATAGATCACACAATATTTTTTACAAACGTGTGAATGCTTGTAACTAGGCCTTGGCAAGGCAACGTACAAGGTAACCGGGTAAGCCATAGGCCTCTACCTTTACCCTGCCTTTTATCTTATTCGTGTCACTGTCGTCTACCTTTACCCTTTACTTCTACCTCAGGGTAATTATCGGGTTACCCGATACAAATTCTTAATAGTTAAAAAATTACTTTTACATCAGTGCTACTCGGTAATTACCCTATTATATATACCCTAAACGTTAAAAGATCAAGGCTACCCGGTAATTACCCTATTACCTCTCCCCTAAAGGGTAAAAGGTAGAGGTAATTTACCTATTTAGTGTAGTTTATATGGATCTCTTCAGCAGGATTGTGTAGAATTACATTATGAATAATTCTGGGAGTGTACACATTTTTGTTTTTCGCGAGTACGAGGGTTAGCCAGTAATTACTGGGTAACCCATTTGGCTCTACCTTTACCTTACCTTTACCCTACCCTATAGTCAAACCTTTAACTTTTACACTTTTACCGCGTAACCCTAAAAGGTTACCTTACCTTGCCAAGGCTTACTTATAACCCTACTATCGATACTGAAGTATCATAATGATGAATTGTTTACATATTCATATTCAAATATGTTGATTGAGGTTTTTTTATTATCATTTCATCCATATTGATAGTTATTCAAACCTATGCTACATACAGGTTTTGTAATCACCACATTAACTACAATCATTTTTAATGATCAGAAAAATTATAGATTTATCTTGATTTGAATGAATTGTGACAATTTTATTTTTATTTGTGATGTATTTGTTAGTTAACTTCACTTTAAACATTACATATCTTACAACTTCATAGATGGCTACTTTTAATGCTTCATATAAAAAATTATCCTTTTTAACTAAATTATTGTACAAAATAATGACAAATTTAATAAATATTGAAGATATAGTAGTCAGATGAATCATAATAGCTATTTTTCATTCTTCAAATTGAATCTGATAGATATGAAGTTTTATCTATCTATGATAGTATTGACACATGTAAATAAAAAATATTATAGGTGTGAGAAAAATTCAAGGTTAAAACTCAATTATTGTGAAAATAGAAGTATTGAAATACATTATTTAACCAAGATTCAAGAACATATATACTTGTCAAAGAAATAAATTGTATGAATCATCTAAGTGTAATAATGATCATTTGTAGTTTTGAAAAATCTAGAATGCTAACATTCAGACAGTTGCAGACATCTCTTGAAGAAAGAAAAGTAAAGTTTAACAACAATAAGGTAGAAATGAAGACAGCTAAGCATATTTTGAAACTCAAAGCAAATACTTGAGAAGCTAAAACCAAGTTCAAGGTTGTAGAATATCTGAATTTACTTGTTTTGGATATCAAGAAGTATGAGTAATACCAAAATGAGATTTTCAAAAGAAGCAAATTTTCCAAATTTTGACCGCTACTATGATTGAACCAAGAATTATTAACGAGTCAGGGAATTGGTGACATATTTTTTTCCATTAAAAGTCTGAAGACTTACAAACGAGTGGAAAAAAAGTCAAACATTCAAATGTCACAAGATATTATTACAAGTGTTTGATGAAACAAGCTAATAGCCACAAAGTCTGGCGGAGCAAAAAATAAGACAGTCAATGATGATGAACGTGATGGCGATATATTTTGGAAGCAAGATATGAGATAGTCAATGATGATGAACGTGGTAAATATCTACTCTAGAAGCAAGATATGAGATGATAAATGATGATGTATGTGATGATTATCTACTTCAAACAACATAAATGAAAGACAAAACAAAGGTTTTGAGTTTAAGCAAAACGTTGAGATAGAAACATTACATCTACAATGATGATGATTGACAAAATTTTAACAGAAGGTTGTGACTATGTTCAAACTACATATAAAACCTTTGAATCCTTAAAATTTGGATAAGTATGAGTGTGATGTTACGTTGTTCAAGGCTCTTGAGCCATGATTTCATTGCAAAGAGTTATCAAAGAAGATGTATGTTTTTTTAAAGCTTATGAGCTTCACCCTGAAAAATTTTTGCACAAATATCCAATATCATATTGAGTTTGATGATATTATCATTGATCTTCAAAATCTTGAAGAGTAGATAAATAATGAGAGAGTAAATTTTCATCTCTTGAGATCATTGTCTTCCTTCTATCAATCACTGTCATGTGAATTGCTTCAATGCGATTTGTGTAATATCATTTACAATGAAGTTGTGTATGCTCTATTAATTGATGATTAACTAGAAAAAATTTTATCATCTTTTTCATATTCTTTTTTTGATACTACATTCAGTGTGAGGTCAATCATATTCACAAAATAATAAATATGACAATTGTTTTGGATCTAAGGATCAATCCAATTTTATAAAAAATTTATTTTCTCTAAATATGATGATATGTTAAAAATTGTGACTTAAGTGTCTTATGTAAAAAATATAACTATGTGATGACAAAGTTATCTTTTAGTTAATGTGACTCAAGAGTTTGATCTCAAGAAAAATGACTTGTTGGATAATACACTATTTTCTAGCTATATACGATATGAAGGTGCATTGGAATAAAGTGAAATGAATTTTTGGATATTTTATGTGTA